ATTTTTTAAAAAAATTCAAATTGAGAACTGAATATAAAATATAAAAAACAAGAAAAAATAATTTTTGAACGCTGAGTCGAATGGTACCACTCTCTATCTGCACAATTCCTACGAGCCGAGATATAGGTCTTTAGAAACCGAAGAACAATGGGGGGGGGGGGGGGGGGGGGAGTTACCTAATGCCGGTAATTTTATTGCCGGAATTTTGTGTTGACTATTGCCCGAACTATTGTGTCGAATCTTGCTCACCTATTGCCGGATTTATTTCACACCCTTTGCCGTAAATTTCTAAAATATTGTCGAAACCCTTCCTTTAAGCTAATCTTACTTATTTAACCTATTGTTGAAATTCCTATCTTAATTATAATAGTCCTTAATAGGTAAATCTACATAAGCATTAAATCCAAAAGAAAAAAAACAAAATTAAAAACGAAAAAATAAAAAACGCGTTGCCTAAAAACATAAAGTTACTCTTTTTCTATGTGAAAACTATTTTCCGACTAATATTTGGATTTTTTGTCATTTTTAATTAAATTTAACACAACGCCAAAAATTGAAAATACAAACGGGAACAAACAAGAAAAATTCAAATTTATATGTTTACTAGGTAAGAATTAAGAAAGATAATTAAAATCACGAAATAATGATAAATAGCATGTATGTTTATGGATATATTAGAGATCGGACCGAGACGAGATCACGAAAACAAAATCTCGGTCATCGAGATATCGATCTCGATTCTCGTACAACCCTCCCGGTCCGGCCTCTAAATTTAGCACAAATTGAATGAGAAATATCTATCTCGATGTCTTAAAGGAAATTTGATATTAAAAAATCGAAGAACTGCAGAACAAAATTAAAAAAACATCAAAAATGTTTTTAGACTTTTAATGAAAAAATGTTTAAAACAAATAGGCATTTTTAAATATGTAAAATCTTATGACTGAAAATACTTTTCGTAGTTTTGTTATTTCAAAATAATTTGGACGTAAACACTCAGAGACAAGTCAAAAAAATTGAAAGGAAACTATAAACAAAGGAAGTGTCATAAAATTTATTTTTTTAAATGTTCCTTCCTTTCTTTTTTTATTTTTGCATAATTAAAAAGGGTGTGGGTTAACTGCACAAAAATTATTTTGGATTTTTCTGTTCCTTTTTGTCAATTCAATTCAACTAAGCCACGCCCTCTTTACGGCTGTCAGAATTGAGTGGTGTGCCTTTATTTTTAAATGTACAAATAAACACCAAAGAAAAGGAAGGGAATTTTATGTTTTGAGAAGAAATGTTGATTTAAAATTTTGAATTGAAAAACAAGTGGAAATCATCGATTTAAGAATGAAGACAATTTAAATCATTTTTGGAACCGATAAAATTTTAAAATAACGATTGTTTTCTGATCAAAATCAGTTAAAAGCAGAATTTATTTAATATTAAAAAAGTTCTCAAAGCTTGGGGCAATGCTTTTGACTCGGGGGTGTATTTATATAAGGGATAAAATCAGGGATCTTCTGACTTCCAAAATTTTTGCGTGGGGCGAATGAAAGCAAGTTCTAAAACAAATTAGATTGTCCGATCTCTTTAAATCACTTTTGTGTACATCAAGAAGAGAATGAACTTCTACTAGGCCATCGTCCAACGGAGGAGTAAAGACAGTTTTTATTTGAAGGATTAAGAATGGGATTAACGGGATATTGGTTGATTTTTAGGAATTAATATCACAATGTCACTAGCTTATCGAGAAATTCGTGAGGATTAAGAGAAAAGGATCTTCAAATAACCTTATATTTATCCCTCATATTTGTTCAATCACATTCCTCCAGATCCTCTTATATCTTCTAAATCCCCTATATATGCAGGATTGATTTTGCCTCATTTTGTAATCCAGGTCCGTAAAATCGGGTTTGCCGGTCACTCATTAGTAATGGACGTTCTAAGAAGGGAGTATCGGCTCCCCATAACTAAGAGTTCGGCTTACAATTTTTTGATCATTTTGTGCGCTTTCAGTATGTTGCGAGGGATGTCAACATCAGGGAAACAAAATACAACTAAAAATATTTTTCACAATTTTTAAAATTTAATCTATTGTCTCCTCACTTTTAGCCTTAATTTTCTCAAAATTAATTCTCCGATACTCACAATTATTCTGTAAAGCATATAGCTATTAATTTCCTAAGGCTGTGCAGTAGGTGGCGTGGTGTCATGGCTAACACATCAGTCCGGTCTACTGAAGATTCTGGTTCGCTCCCAGCCGCCGATTAACCTTTTGCACTAGCTAAAGGAGAGAAATAGCTATAGCCCAGCTGCTTTACTATTCCAAAATTTTAATTTCAGTTTTTTAACAAATTTAGATGCCACCGTTTATTCAAAATCTTCATCTCCCCCACTTTTTCCTTCAAAATTCAATTCAAATTCAAAATGTTTTCCTCAGAAGGTCTTCTACCCGGCTACGACAAAACGGTTGTTTTTGTTCTTTAAAAATTATTTTCAAAAAATTTTTAGACTTAAAACGCTCGGGAGTTGACAACAGATTTAATAAAATTGATGTTTTGGAACTAGATGAAGTCGTACAACCTCAAAAGTTTCACCTTGACAAACACGTTAATTAGGTTTTTATTTTTGGAAATTTGCGGACATTTTTTCTTTCGGACGCTTTTTGCGGATTTTTATTTTTGTTGATTTTTGCTTCCCATTTTCCTTTTTCTCCTATATTCATTAAGGAAATGGTTAGAAAATGTGAGCTTTTTAAATAACTTGGAAAAATTCGCGGAGGGTTTTCCTCATTAAAACTAAAGCTTTACCTTTCCCAGAGAGCTTGGATTCTTGTGAACCACTTTTTGCGGATTTTTAACGGATAGTTTCCTTATTTTTCTTCATTAGTTTCTTGCTTATTGGTGGGTAGAAAGGAAGTTTGTGAAGAATAATCCGCAAAAGAGCAATGCCCCCAAAAAGAAAAAGTCCGCAAAAAAGTGTCCGCAAAAAATGTCCGCAAAATTTTTCATTTTACATAACCTTTATTTTTTAAAGTTAGAAGGTGTCCAGTCTAGCCTTTCTCGTCGAGTTATATCCTCAATTCTTGATCGATTTGCAAGAGATGTCAACATTGAGGATTTGGTTGCAACACAAAATATACCCAAAAATATTTTTCAAAAGGCTTTTCAAAGCTTTAGGTTTCTTTGGATTTTTATTTAAAAAATTATTTTTTGAAAATATAAGAATGAGTTGCTGTTTGGGTCAAACATGTTTGGATCCTCGTCTTCAAGCGACTTTTAGCGATATTATTAAATATGGTTTGTTTATTTTTTAATTTTTGGGACCTGGGATGGGCCAGGTTGGATTTTATTTCGAATTTGGTATCAAAAAGTAGTTTGGGCTCAGGTAACCCTCCCAGAAACGCGCCTATCTAGACTAGATTGGCCTGATTTACGAAGGCCAAATCAGAGAGCGGACACAATCAGAGAGTTTTGGGGACAAGCTCCGCAAAATTTGTCCGCAAAAAATTTGCGGACAAACTATATACTAGAGAGTTGCTATCGTTTAAATCTAAAATTTGTAGCAAAAAACCTCGTAAATCCAACAAAATTCCCTCTCAAAATTTCTTTTTTAGGTCACAGTGTTGACCAAATTTATTCTTATTTTCTTCGACATGCTCAAGAAGTTTTTCCATATTTGGAACGAATTAATGAACTTCGAATAACTTCTGATTTAACTCAGTCACAATTGGTACCCTTTGACTCGTGAATTCATTGAAAAATTATTTTTCATGCAGGTTTGTAGTTGTAAAAAATATTGAAAAAAAGTCCGCAAAGTTTGTCCGCAAAAAATTTGCGGACAAAAATTTTTTAAAATTTTTCAAAAAATTATTTTTCAGGTCCTACAAATAGCAGGAAAACTTACGAAGCTTTGGAAGCGTTAAAAAGGCGGGCCTAACTACAGTTTCCGTACCAGGCTCAGAATTGGACGATTTATATGTCATTCGAAAGCGCTCGTCGAGCTGAGTCGAACGGCACCAAAATTATTCAGCGGAAAAAATTCTGAGCCGAGATATAGGGCTCGAAATGGTCAAATTTCTAGGGGAATTTTTGGGGTGAAAAATTCGAAAATGCGAATTATACCTCATTCGAAAGAGCTCGTCAAGCTGAGTCGAAAGACACCAGAATCAGCTCGATTGGATGATTCTGAACAAAGTTATGACCAACATAATCTTCGCTGGAAAAACTGTTTTTGTGCTGCTACGGAGGGTAGGCCGGGCATGGTCTTCGCTACACGATGGCCGTGCTTCGCTGCGGTCGTGCTCGCTTCGCTCGCGGCGACCGTAGCGAAGCGGCGGCCGTCGTTCCGCTCGACATGCCCGGCTTCCTCCGCAGCGGCAAAAACTTTTTTCCGCGTAGACCTTGTTGAAGGGGTAAAAACAAACGGTCATAACTTTGTCAAATCAAGTCAGATTTCGTCGATTTTGGTGTCATTCGACTCAGCTCGACGAGCTCTTTCGAATGAGGTATAATTTGCATATTCGAATTTTTCACCCCCAAAAAACAGCTTGGTCCCCCCTATGGTTTTTTGAACTTTAGGGGTCTGTAACTCGGCTCAGAGTTTTTTCCGCTGAATAATTTTGGTGTCGTTCGACTCAGCTCGACGAGCTCTTTCGAATGACATATAAATCGTCCAATTCTGAGCCTGGTACGGAAACTGTAGTTTAGCCAAAAGGCGGAATCTGGAATGTATTGTGGTCCCTTGCGGTTATTAGCTTTTGAAATTTATGAACGAATTAATAAAGATGGTAAGAAAATTTTTTTGATACTAATTATTTGGGGTTTATAATTAATTGTTTTTCTTTTTTGGGTTTATTCCTTTCTTGTTCCTTTCCATAAAAAGTTCGTTAATGTTATCAGCAAAATATTAATGGATAGCTAAAAGTTCCGCAAAAATTTGCGGATAAAAAAAAAGTCCGCAAAAAAATGTTGCGGACATCAAAAAGTAAAAATTTTTTCTTTTTAAAAAGGTATTCTTTCGATATGGTTACTGGAGAACAACGACTATTTGCTCATGATACAGAAACTTCAGATGCCCATTGTACTTACACGGCAGATGATAGAAGAGATATTTTTGTGATAAATAAAATACAAATGTTGAAGGATGTTGATCGTGGAACAGCTTGGACTGGGCTCTGCTTGGAGTTGCCGCTGACGAGGTTTATCTTTTTTTAATTTTTAACAAAATGGTAAATATGTCAAAATACCAAGAATTTCAGAAAATAAAAATTTGCGGACAAAAATTGTATCCGCAAAAGATTTGCGGACAAAAATTTTTTGATTCTTAAAAATTTTTCTTTCATTAAAATGTTACTATATAATCTCAAATTTTTTCAAACTGCCAAAAATGCCAATTTCCCCCCAAAAAATTTTTAGGTTCATTTATGTGGTGAAGAGGCAGCAATAGACCTCCAATTGGTGAACATGTTGCTGTCAAAAAATATGAAAGGAAAGCTGAATTGGTTGTAATTGATACACACGGATTAAGAGATTTGAGTGATGCGCAGGTTTTTTTAATTTTTTTGAAAGAAAAATTTTTTTAAAGGATGGGGATTGCTTTATTCATTTTAACAAACAATCAATTTTAAAAACTGCTAGAACTCTTGTACATGAATATGGAAAAGAATCAGCTATTATTTTTGATGATTTGCCGTCTGAAACAAAAAGGGGATAAATTGAAAAGTTTAATGATTTTGAGGTTTTTTCTTAAATTTTTGGGAAAAATTTTTTCGAGTAAAATAATTGATTTCTCTTTTTGGGTTCCTTGGTCCAATAAAGCATATGAGTGGCATTAGTAAAAAAAGGATTGTGAGAGGTTTTTTTGGGTGGAATTTTCCTTAATTCATTTCAGCTTATTTTTAGAAATAAAACATTAGAATTTGTTTTTGCTAGGTAATAAATTTAGGGAAAGGGAAGAAATGAAGGGAATAGAATCGAAAATCCAGGGGGAGATGATAACTGAAGGATTCTCGAAAACAATTTTTTGGGGAAAAACATTATTGACTTCTGCGTAAAACCCCAGTCCAAACTGTGCCAAATATTTTTTGGGAAAATATTTCTTTAAAAAATTTATTTTAAAGAATTCATGTAAAATTTTGTTGGCAACACTTTCTATTGGAATGGGAATTAATTTAAATATTAAAAGGTTTTTTTTTATTAAATTCTAATTTTATTTTTTAATTTTTTTAAAGTTGTTTTTACAACGTTGATGAAAGACGGGCAGATTTTTTTGGCTTTTTTTGTTAAACAAATGGCTGGTAAAGCTGGACGTTTTGCTTCTAGATATTGTAAAGGAGAGGTTTGTTTATAAATTTATTTTTACTGAAAAAATTTTTAAATGAGGTTTTCCCAATGATTTTTTAAAAATTATTGGACTACTAAATAAGCATAAGCGACAAAAGAAAGTTCAAACCTCCACTACACCCTTAAGAATTTGATTTTTTAATATTGGTTGACCTTGTAATATTCCCCTTGACCGTTAAAAGTTAAAACCTGAGCCGGAACCACTTAACCAAAAATTTAGTTTTTTTGAAATCTGCTTTTTCAATTACAATCCTTCTGGGACCACTACTGATTCCACTAACTTTCAAAATTCCCTTCTTTTTTTTAATTTTTAAAAAATTTATTTTATAGTGGAATAATCTTGGCCACAAACACTTCATCTTTAAAATCGGTGGATTTCGCTGCAAATTTGAAACACAAGAAACTTTTGGTGATCTTCATTTTTTCAATCCTGTTCCAGTCATGAAATTGCTTGAGGTTTTTATATATTTAGTCAAGTAGATCCGGTCCAGGTTTTGACTTTATAATTGTCGATGGTTGGAACCCTTTTGTGTCCCTTTGATTTTTCCTCTTCCTCGAGGAAGTCAAGCCCTACGAATTCAAATCCTAAATTTAAATCTTTTGGTTAAGCGGTTCCGACCCAGATTTTGACTTTTAATGGACCATGGTTTCGAATCCCTTTGGTGCCCCATTTATTTTTCTTAAATTTTTTGCATTTTCTGATTTTTTGAATTACCCAAAACCTCGCAAAAATTCATTAAAAAATTTTAAGGTTGTTAAATTTGATCAAACTAGTGAGGACACATTTCAACACCTTATGAAATTTGGAAAAGATATCGGAAAGTTCACTGTTGTTTGCAAGGTATTTTTAATGAAGAAGTTGAAAAAATCAGTTTTTAGGACACTTCCGGATTTATCGTCAACCGCCTCCTCGTTCCATACATGTTGGAATCAATACGAATGTTTGATAGAGGAGACGCTAGCAAAGAGGATATTGATTTGGCAATGAAGCTGGGTGCTGGTTATCCTATGGGACTGTTTCAATTGTCTGATTATGTTGGGTTGGATACTACACAATTTACTGTTAAAGGTTTTTTAAATTTGTCCGCAAGATGTTTGCGGACATACTTTGTCCGCAAGATTTTTATGGACTTTTTCCTTATATTTAGAAAATTCTATTCTAATTCAATTATATAATAGGATGGCATGAAAAGTATCCAAATGACCCTTTATTCCAACCCATTACAACTTTGGACAAACTTGTAGCCGAAGGAAAATTGTGTGTTAAGAGTGGAGAAGTGTTTTACAAATACAGAAAAAATAAGGTATTTGACGAATTAAAAGGAATATTTTTTAAATTAATTTTTGTAAATTTTCTTTTAAATTTTTTGCAACTTTTTAAAAATCAATAGCGCTATCTGATATAAAATAATTTGAATTCCAGTTGGTTCAGAAGTTGAAGTATCTCTGGAAAATTTTTGGTTTGTCGTAGTTGATTCCTACACTTATGGTTAGAGGAGAATGCAGAATTGTTGTAGTCCACAACCTGCTAATGTTGTAAAGACTTGCTTAGATAATGAGGGAAAACAAGATAGGATGGAAAGAATGGGTATATTTTTTTAAATTAAAAAAACTCTCGTCTCAGATTGTCGGGACCATTTGTTGTTGCCCAAGTTGTTGCTTGTTTACGTGAGGATTGTCAATTTTTATATTTGTTGTTCTGAAGTTGGGGAATGTTCTGGAATGATTCCTTGTAAACAAGCTGATACTAATGGTCCAAATGGAATTGTTAGACTGATTCGTAAAAAAATCAATAAAAATAATCTGAAGAGAAAACAAGGCCGATTTACCGCCGCATTTGCTGCATTTTTTGAAGAAAATTAATTTTTGGTAATAAATTAATTTCTAAAAATTATAAATTATATTTATTAGAATACGTTTTTATTAAAATTTAAAAAATTTTTTAAATGAAATACAAAAATTGCGTTTTATTAAATGTTTATTTACAGATTAGTTGAATTTTCGATAAAAATTTTAATAAAACGTAAAAATGGTTAAAATAAATTATTAAAAAAATGTAATGTAAAATTAAAATTTATTTTAGAAAATTTTAACAAAATATGTTCATGAGAGGTATGACGAGATGACATGCGATGACGGATAAAAATTTTAAAATGATTTTCTTGAAAAATTATCCTCGGATATAAATAGAGTAAGATTTTTAAATTTACATTTTTAAAAATATATTTAAAATTTGAAAAATAATTTACTTTAATTTAAGGTTACTTACACATCTACAATTACAAAATTTATACCAATTTTACAACAGTATACAATGTGCAGATAATTATATTAAAATTTTATATTTTAATCTCCTTTTCAACTTGAAATTTCCTTTTTACTGTCGCATTTGCTGCATTATCAAACATTTATGAAAGTAATAAGTACGAATTTCTGTAAATGAATGAATTTTTAAAAAGAAAATGTTTTTAAAAAGATTTTTTAATTTTTTTTCATTTTTTCTTTTGAATAAAAAAATTTCATTTTTTCTTTTGAAAAAATTTTTTTATAATTTAAGTTTACTTACCTATCTACAATTACAACAATTTATACAGTTAAACATTGTGCAGATTCTTATATTAATCAATATAATTTATTTTACTCCCCAATTTCGACGAACTTTTCGACCAAGTTTTTATTACAAAATATTTTGTATAAGCTGCAAAAATTTTTTATTGCAGCTTATATTTTTGGGTATATTTTTTTAAATTAAAAAAACTCTCGTCTCAGATTGTCGGGACCATTTGTTGTTGCCCAAGTTGTTGCTTGTTTACGTGAGTATTGTCAATTTTTATATTTGTTGTTCTGAAGTTGAGGAATGTTACTGAAGAGAAAACAAGGCCTTACCCATCAACAATTACAAAATTTATACCAATATTACAACACTTAAACAATGTGCAGATAATTATATTAAAATTTTTTATTTTAATTTCCTTTTCAACTGGAAAATTTCCTTTTTACTGTCGCATTTGCTGCATTATCAAACATTTATGGAAGTAATAAGTACGAATTTTTGAAGATGAATGAATTTTATAAAGAATGTTCTTAAAAAGATTTTTTAAAATCTCTTTTCATTTTATTTATTTTTAATAAAATGAAAAAATGCATTGTGTTAAATGTTTATCAGATTTTTTAAATTTTTGATATAAATTTAAAGTTAGTTAAATTAAATACTTTGAAAATGATATTTAAAATTAAATTTTATTTTAGATGTTTAAAAAATACAACCTTTTTTTAAAAATTTAAAAAGTTCACAATTTTTTTAAAAAGCTACCTTTAAAATGGGAAAAATAATTTATTATAATTTAAGATTACTTACCCATTTACAATTACAACAATCTATACAAATTTTACAACAGACAAACAATGTGTAGATTCTTATATTAATCAATATTATTTATTTTCTTCACTATTGTTTTCAAATTTTGGAAGCAAATTGTTTTGTATAAGCTGCAAATTATCTTATATTGTATTTCAAAATGTTGCTAAATGATTTTCTTGAAAAATTATCCCAAGATTTAAGTATAGTAGGAATTTTTAAAATTTACAACCTTCAAAAAAATTTACTTTTAAAATTGGAAAATACTTTATTATTAAGGTTACTTCAACATCTACTATTATACAAATTTATTCCACTTTTACAACAGTTAAACAATGTGCAGATAATTTTATAAACCAATTTATTTTATTTTCTTTACTTGTTGCTTTCAAATTTTGTGAGCAAATTTTTTTGTAACAATAATGAAATCGAAAAATTGTTGATGAAATGGTGGAGCTGAAGGGCATAAACATATTAATGAAGTTGTGTAAAGACTTTTTTGCTAGTTATAAGGTTTTTAATTTGATTTAAAAAAATTTTTAATTTAAAAAATTTAGAGGACCCAAAATTGGAAGAAGGATTTGATAAAATTGTCAAAATACGATACAAACCAAATTTACAAAATGAGCAACATCGACGAATCTAGGGAATGTATTTAATTGGAAAGTTGTGAATTTAGAAAATGGATAGAGATAGGTATTTTTATAATATTTTTGTTTCCATTTTTACAATTTTTTTATAAGTAAGAACATCTCCTAAGAGCTACTCCTATGATCTGAAGCATTGCGACAGACGACCTGTTAAATTTCCTTTTCAACTGGATATTAACATGGGAAGGTTGCGAGGTGTCCGAGTTAAAAACGGTCGAGACCAGGCTCATTCGATAGAGAATATGCCCTTTCTAGCAAGGATTTTTGCCGTTTTTGCCCGTTTTTTGATCTGGTTAAGATATGGCCCTCCAAAGTCCCAAAATTAGGCATAATTTTTCCCCCTCAAATATAAACATTAAATAAAGGGTTAATTTTGTTGGCGTGGTGGTGTAGTGGTGAGTGCGCTTGCATTACCCTTTTTCTCTTAAAAGTTCGATTCTTTTTTGGGTTTTATTTTTTTATCTAATTGTTTTAAACATTATTTATTCCTTTTTCAACAAAAGATTTTTTTTGTTTGAAAAAATTTTTTTTATTTTTTTTTTAAATTTTTAAAAATTAAAAAAAATTTTCAAGTCGAGGAATCTTCTTTTCTCCTGTGTGGAGAAGAATTTGTTACAGCTGGCATATCGAATAAAACTAGATCCAAACAATTAGGTGTATTACATCCATTAGGGGATTTTTCTTTTGTTGAAAAAGGAATAAATGTTTAAAACAATTAGATAATAAAATAAAACCCAAAAAAGAATCTAACTTTTAAGAGAAAAAGGGTAATGCAAGCGCAAACACCACTAGACCACCACGCCAACAAAAACCCTTTATTTAATGTTTATATTTGAGGGGGAAAAATTATGCGAAATTTTGGGACTTTGGAGGGCCATATCTTGGCCAGATCAAAAAACGGGCAAAAACGGCAAAAAATCCTTGCTAGAAAGGGCATATTCTCTATCGAATGAGCCTGGTCTCGACCGTTTTTAACTCGGACACCTCGCAACCTTCCCATGTAAGAATTACACAATGAAACTGTTGTTAATGATATTCTTTACGAATTGTACTTGATTGTGGTATGTGGATACTATTATCTTAAATTTCAATAAATAATTTGCATTTAATAGAAGGTACTCTACGGGTATTTCCAGATTTCTAGAATTATCTTTATCCGTTATTTGCATCGTACCATTTTGTAAAGAAGAAAAGAATGAGAAAAAACGAAAATTTGTGGGAGATAACCGGAGAGTACCAATAGAAATAATTCAATTTAAATATTTTTTTAAAGATCAAATGGGAACGGCTGAAAGTGGTCCTTCTGCCACAACTTAATGGAGGAAAAACAAAGTCTAATGAAAATATAAAACTTTGATTGTTAAAATTACTTTTAATCAATTGAATGACGGGACTATGTTTTATCAATATTCCTAAGAATTCCTGATAACAAAAGTTGCGTTTTTTCTAATTTGTGTTGTGAATAAAAATTTTAGTATATACGTAGTTTAATTATTTTTTTATTTAAACCGTTTGACGATTCATACGTTAATTTTTCAAATTGTTGTCTAACTATTTTTTTATTGATAGATAGGCCGTGCGCGCGATAGGTAGGCCGTGTGCCTACTCGGTCGCGCCTACTTGGGCTTAGGCGCAGGAATCTTACATCTATCAAAATTTGCTGGTTTTGATATGGGTATATTTTTTAAAATTTGATTGAAAATTGTATTTAATTTTAAGATTGTACTTTAATTAAAACAAAATTTGGACATGTTTTCCCTTCTAATAATGATGACTGGCAATTTTGGTCAAGAGGTACTATCGTAAAATTAAAGAGGTGTCATAAAGATGGTTTTAAATTGTGTATATTTACAAATCAAATGGGAATCCGAGTTTGTGATTTTTTTATAAATAATTCTGGTTTAGTTGTCAGGGGTTAGGTGGTGCTGTTTTATCAAAAATATTTTTTGGCCTAACGGTCGTGTTTGGGTGATTTGTTAAGGGGACGAGATGTTTTGTGTGGTAGGAGCCCCACTATCTTGTTATTTACAATTAAATCAATCGGAATGTCCTAGTACCATTACGGCGCACGCCCTAACGATCCGCGCTCTCACTTTGGGGCAAAACGTTTCCCTGGTTTGAGTAGAATTTTCCTTTGTATATTTTCCTTTCTTTTATTAGAATATAGTCACTCGTTGTTTTCCACAAGTTACTTGTCCTTTAAAATCTAATTTAGATTTTTAAACAAAATTTTTTATTTAGAAAAAACATCGCTGCTGGATTCAAAATTAAAATTCAAAATATTTGTACAGCTATTGGTGGCCCTATTCAAGTTAATTTTTATTTAATGTTCTATTTTAACTTTCAATTTTAGGTTTTCGTATCAATTGAAACTCCAAATTTTCGAAAACCGTATACAGGCTTATTTTTTGTTTGAATTAGTTTTTATATTTCCCATTTTTAAGGAATGTTGAATAAACTTGAGAAAGTGAAAATGGATCTTTTGGAATAGAAAAAAGTGAATCATTTTATGTTGGAGATGTTTGTTATATTTTTTTTAGATTTTTAACAAGGAAAGGTTGTGAGGTGACGAATTTGTTATCTAGCTTTTCACGGTTAATCTGAAAATTTTATCAGTTAACAAGTTTAGGTTTTATTTAGGCTTATCCCTTTCAATATTAATACTAATTTTCAAGGGTGTAGCCCTGGGGAGGGGGGCTTCTAAGGCTAAAGCTTTTTTCGCCCTATAATTTTTTTAGCCCTTTTTTTGGCCCCCCCCCCTTTCGCCTGCGGCGTTGAAAGTGAAAGAAATCTAGCTTCTTGGGTTCCAAAATTCAGAAAAGATATGGTTCAGAAAAATTTGCGTTAGGAACGCCGCAGTAAACGCCAAAATTTTGGCGTACACCCAATTTTAGCCCTCCCAAAATCGACCGCCTAGCTGCTAATTTTCTTGCAACTGTTTTTTGTATGTTCGAAGCTTTTCTAGACAAACATTTTCCTATTTTTTTATTTGATATACTCACAACCTTCTCCTTATAATTTTAAATGATTTAAAATTTTACTTTAAATTTTTAGGCTGTTGGAAGAACAAAGAACATTAAGTAATATTTTTTCCACTGAATTTGTGACTTAAATTTTACACTCCAGAACAATTTTTCTTTCCTTACAATTCACAAATTGAAGAAGATTTTTTTATTACCAAAATTTAATTCTTTCAATTGATTGAAAATTCTTCAAATTTTAATGAATTTGAGCCAGGTTTCTTTTAAATAATTCTCAAAATAAACATTATTTTGAAAAATTTTTTGTTAAAAAATGTTAGATTACTTGTTGGCCCTCCATCTTGTGGAAAAAGCACATTTTCATAAAAATATAAAGACAATCAAGATGAATTAAAAACTTAGCAAAATTGTTTTGAAAAGTTTTGGAAAATGGATCAAGTGTAATTATTGATAATACAAATAGAGGATTGGAGATTAGGTTTATAATTTTAAATTAAATATATTTTGGTAATTTTTGTATAACTTCTTTTTCTTCCTAGTTGTGTATCAGTTATTCCTAAATTTTTTTGTCATATTTGTGCTAGCAGTAACATTAATTTTTTACGACTGCCTTACATTTCACCATTATTGCTTGAGTTAATAAATGATAGACATGAAGAAAGAATAATTGTAAGATTCAAATCAGGAAGGGGCCTGGTTATCCAAAAATTACCAAATTAAAAAAAATTTTTTAAATTTATTTTTAAACAAAGAAATATTGAATATGACCAAATCCTTAATTTATTTTTAATTGTTCATTGGCACATTCACTTGACAATAATGAAATCGAAAAATTGTTGATGTAAATGCTGGAGATGAAGCACATAAACATATTAATTAAGTTGTGAAAAAAACTTTTTTTTGCTGGTTATAAGGTTTTTTAAAATTAATTTGAAAATTTTCTTTAATTTAAAAAATTTAAAGGAACCAAAATTAGAAGAAGGATTTGATAAGATTGTCAAAATACAATTCAAACCAAATTTACAAAATGAGCAACATCGACGAATATATGGAATGTATTTGGAAAGGTTTCAATGAATTAACGGTTTGCAATGAATTTTTTTCTTTAATTATAATAATGAATAGCAAATTTTAAAGGAAAAAATATTTTCCCAGAGATCGGTTTGAACCCATGACCGTAAGAAACCACTAGCCAAAAATGTATTTTTGGTTATTTTTTGTACATCTCTTTTTGTGGGTCGTAGGTTCGAACCCCTTTCGGCGAAAATATTTTTATTTTCTAAAAGTTGCTATTTTAAATTTTTTAGGGGAATTGCTACAAATTTGGGAATGCGCTTTGCTTGTGTTTATGGAGGTGTTGAAATATCTGAACAAATTTCTGAATTAAAAAATGGAGATGAATTGTGGTATGCACACCTGGAAGGATGATTGATATGCTTGCAGCTAATAATCGGTTTTTTTTTTATTTTTTAAAGCGATTTGCTAGTTACACCCCAAAAATCAGTTAAACTTCATAAAATTAAATTTTACCCTGGGTGGGTTCGAACCTGCGACCTCTTACTTAATGAACACAAACTTTCCCACTTAACCAAATTTCGCAAATTTTTAAAAATAATTCTGTAATGACCGGCTTGTTCATTGATTTTGACCATTTTGCTCCTATAATTTCTCAAAAATAAATTTTTCAAGTAAAGTCACCAACCTTTGTCGTGTTACTATTTAGTTATGGACGAAGCTGATCACATGTCTGACATGGGATTTGAACTAGAAGTAATGAAAATGGTAAATAATCTACGTCATGAAAAACAAGCTGTTCTTTTCTCAGCTGATTTTCCTAAAACAATGGAAGCTTTGGCAAGGATGTTTTGGAAGACCTATGGAAATTGTAAGTATAAAATCATCCCTCATTATAAGATACCCAATAATAGACACACCTCTATTTAAGAAAAACTAGTTTAGGTTTCATTAGCAACTGAATTGGTGGAGGTGCTCAAGCGATAATATTCTATTTGGGCTATGCCTCATTATAAGGACAATTTTTAGGGAACCAAGGGTGTATTTACAACTGAGGTTCGACTGTTTTTTTAATTCTCATGAATTTTCTTTTTAAATTTTTAAAGGTCGGTATACGCATAGTTGTTTGTAAAGATGTCGAGCAAAATGCATAGTTTTGGAAGAACACCAAAAATTTACAAAATTACTAGAATTACTTGGCCAATATTGGGAGCTTGTAAATGTTTTAGTTTTCATTGAAAAACAAGTAAAGTTAATGCCGGCTGGTTATAATTGTGCTCCAGCTCAGGAAGGAATAGATCAGGATTATAGGGATTTACCATTCTTGATTTTAATAGTAAGATTAAAATGAATGGTATATTTTATGCAGTTTGGGCCATTTTAAACTGAAAAATCTATATTATAATGAGGGAGGTCTTAAATAGAGTTTTTGCTTCTGAAGCTCCCTCCAACCAAATTTTAAGAAATAAAAATTAATTTTCCGTGAAGGTTTATTAACAAATTTATTAACTATAGGTAATTTAATAAAAACTGGGTCCAATTTTTGGGTGTGCTTTTTAAGAGTGGCTCAATTTCTGTGGGGCTTTTTTTTAATACGGTATTTTACTTTTAGACAGAAGTTTGCTGAATACTCCTGTATTTTCACAATATTACCAAACGTCAGCAATTCGTCAAAAAATCAATAGAAATCTGAAGGGAACACAAGGTCGATTTACTGTTGCATTTGCTTCATTATCCAACATTTAAGGAAGTAATAAGTATGAATTTTTGAAGATGAATGAATTTTTGGTAATGAATAAATTTCTAAAAAATATAATTTATATTATTACTAAAATACATTTTTATTAAAATATAAAAATTTTCTTTTGAATAAAATGCAAAGATTGCGTTGTATTAAATATTTATTTACCGATTTGTTAAATTTCTCATATAAATTAAATAATTTTAAATATGATATGTAAAATTAAATTTTATTTTAGAAAATTAAAAAAAAATATGTTCATGTGAGGTATGACGGGGTGGCATTAGAGTTTCACCGGAAGTTCCGGTTCCGGAAAGTTCCGGTGTTTTTTTGGTTCCGGTTCCGGGAACCGGAACTCAAATTGGTTCCGGTTCCGGTTCCGGTTCCGGCTCCGGTTTACAAATCGGTTCCGGGCAAACCGGAACTTTTTTACACCCCTAAGGATTAGTTTTTTTAAGAAATATGGATTGGCCTTGCAATATTTTCCCCGATTGGCCTTCCAAAATTCTCAAAATTTTCGCCTGCGGCGCCAGAAAAGGAAGAAATCTAGCTACTTGGTCACACAAATTCTCAAAATTTTCGCCTGCGGCGCTTAAAAAGGAAGAATTTTGTATCCTTGGTTCACCTAAAATCCCAAAATTTTCGCCTGCGGCGCTATGAAGGGAAGTTGACTGGCAAATCGAAGGATTTGGATGGATGAAGGTGGATTTTGAGTTACATTATGTGAGTTCAAGGGGTTATAGGTAATATAGAGGGATTTGGGTGTGATGTCCAGGGAATGAGCTGTGCAAGGTAGATATCAGGGATTGAATAGCTGGGGATTTGGTCTTCCAAAACTTGGATTTTTTTTCGTTTCGATTAACAGAAGAATTTGGCAGAATTTAATCGAAAAATTTGGCGAAACCGCACCCCTACTTAAAATAAAAATTTTTTAAAATGTGCTAGCAAAAAATTTTTTAAAAGTTCCGGTTCCGGTTCCGGTTCCGGGCCGGAACTTTGAAAAGTTCCGGTTCCGGTTCCGGGAACCGGAACTTAAATTGGATCCGGTTCCGGTTCCGGTTCCGGTCAAAATTTCGGTTCCGGTGAAACACTAGGTGGCATGCGATGACGCTTACAAAAAATGATTTTCTTGAAAAATTTTCCCTGGATATAAATAGAGTATGATTTTTTAAATTTACTTTTCTAAAAACATAGTTAAAATCAAATAAATAATTTATAATTTAAGGTTACTTACCCATCCACAATTACAACAATTTATACAAATTTTACAACAGCAATGTCAGATTTTTATATTAATCAATATAATTTATTTTCTTCAATTATTGATTTTCAAATTTTGGAAGCAAATTATTTTGTATAAGCTGCAAATTATCTTATATTGTATTTCAAAATGTTGTTAGTTTTTAAAAGCTTTATAAAAAGTTGCCAAATATAATAATTTTATTGTTGAAAATAATTATGCTTTAAAATAAACTAATAATTAAAAGATATAATCATTAAAATTTTTATTCCTAATATTTAGACTATGGTGAAGATGATAGCAATGAAATCGAAAATTCCAATTCCGAAAAAGCTTTGATGCAAGAAAAAAAAATTTATTTTTATAAAAATATTTGATATTGAATTAAAAAAGATTTTCTTTCAATTATTTGAAAAAGAATGATTTTTTATTGTTTTTTCTTTTTTTTAAGTTATGATTTCTATTTACATATTTAATGCTTTTTAAATTTGTTTTTTATTTAAAAGTAGTTTTTAGAAACATCTAGAAAAAATGCCAACAATTTCAAAATTTTATTCTAGAAATTCAGACATGGAAAGAGAACAGTCACGTTCAAAAAAAGATGGGATAAATGAAGTAGAAAAGATAAAAGAGGCTCTAAAAGAAGTAGAAGTCGTTCTAGATCTCCACAAGAAAGAGATGAAAATTTGCTGAAGTAAAAAGATTCGAAAACGAAATGAAAAGGCTTTGCTATTTTTTTAAATAAAAATCAAAAAAAAATTTTTTGAAAGGTCGAAATGAACAAGCAAAGCTTTTTTGGTCGTGAATCATTTTTGAAATTGGCCCGGCCAAAAACTCGATGGACTGGACATTATGCTCCACGAGGTATTCATGGATCAGCTTCTTTAATGGGTGCTCCTCCTGCCTATCCGGCGCCTGGATTTTTTGGTATTCTATTTTTTAATTTGGGAATTATTTTGATTTTTAAATGGAGGGTTAATTTTCTGATTTTGTTTGCAAAGAAGGATTCATGGTTAAGTGAAAATTTCAGATATTTTGGGGTCACGGGTTCGATCCTGGTAACATTAAAATATTTTTTAGTAGAAAAATACTTTATGAACTCACAGGTATAGGTTTCGAGTTTTTGACTCTAATATGAATCCATTCAGAAATGTCTCCGAAATGACCATAATTCTATGTAAAATTTAGGTAATAATGCCTATTTTCCCCTTTTTTTAAAAAATTAAATTTTCCCAAAATTTTTGTTTTTTAAGTTCCAAATGCAGCTATTCCAATGATTACCAACACTCCTTTTGGTGTCGGAATTATGCCTACAGGAGCTCCACTTTTAAAGGCAACACCTTATGAAACTCAATTAGCTCCAAACCAAGGAATGGCTGGTTTTGGTGGAATGCCTGCTGGACAACAATTTGCTGGACAGCCTATCTTTGTTGGGAATACTTTTCAACAGAATCCGTTCATTCAACAACAGGTTTTCTTTTTAATTAAAAACTTGTAAAAAAATTAACCTGAACGGGTTCAAACCCCAACCCTAAAAAATTTGGAAGGTCCACTTAATTGGACATATGTAGTGGCGTAAGTGGACATACATCTTAAAAGCTAAATTTTTTTTAAAAATTTTTTGAAGTCCATCAATTCAATTTTACTTAACAAATCTATAAATCCTTTATCAAAATCTATTCTTTATTTTAAGAAAGCTACTTACTGCTTTGTTGAGTTTTCCAATGAAGATTCTACGCGTGATGCTCTTTTGGATGTTAATGGGAAACCGGTTTTTTTAATTTTATAAGCAATATTTTTGGATTTTTTAGTTTTCAAATGACCCGTCTGGGAGAGCACGTTTTAATCTTGCATTTGCCAACTCTCCTCATCAAATGTATTTGTCTTTTAAAATTTTGTTTAAAAATTTTAATTTTAAGGTCTGTTGAGTACAACCTTTTTGTTAGAAATTTATCTCCAGATGTTGATGATGTTTCTCTTTTTAGGGTATTTTTTGATATATTTTTTGGGGAGTCTCCTTTGGTTTATTTTTCCTGGGTTCCTTTTTTTCGTTTCCTTTTCCCATCTTTTAAATACATATTAGAATTTGCGGACAAAACTTGCAGACTTTTATAATCATAGACGCGGCACGTTTTATCTCGCCAAAAGCTTGTTTCGCCAAACCCCCAAAAGCTGTTGAATTGCCAAACAGTGGAAAAATTTCATAAAACTCCTCTTTGTGTATAATATAATCCATCTCCAAAATCCTTCATAATACCAAAGTGTGGAAACCTCTAACATAATGCCTACGCGGAAAAAAGTTTTTGCCGCTGCGGAGGAAGCCGGGCATGTCGAGCGGAACGACGGCCGCCGCTTCGCTACGGTCGCCGCGAGCGAAGCGAGCACGACCGCAGCGAAGCACGGCCATCGTGTAGCGAAGACCAAAGCTTTGGCGAAACAAGCTTTTGGCGAGTCAAGCTTTTGGCGAGATAACACGATACCTCATAGACGGTAGCAACCAATATTTTTAAATTTTTCTCTGTCTTTCTCCGTCGTCTTTTGGGTATTTTCTCGGTAAAATAATTATTTCACCGATTTACTTGTGTTCTCATAATGATTTTTTTGAGGATTATTTTTTGCGGTCTCTTTCCATGTTTATACCTGGTTGTTTTTATTACTTTTTTCCTTCGCTTTAATAGATTATCATTAAATAAATAATCAATATATAAGAGAAGAACCATAAAATTAAAAGAAGACAGTTTCTTTTTAATTCAGAATTAGTAAAAATATATTTTACCCTGACCGGGTTCGAACCTATGACCCCAAAATATTTGGAATTTCCACTTAGCCAAGCAAAAAATAAGTCGGGAAAGCGGTCACCCTATTCCCTATATGTGAAAATTCTCAAAAAATGCCAAAGTTTTTCTTTTTAGTTATTTGGAGAACGCTATCGTTCTTGTCGTGGTGCTAAAGTCTATCGAAATGGCTACACCTTATGAAACTCAATTAGCTCCAAACCATGGAATGGCTGGTTTTGGTGGAATGCCTGCTGGACAACAATTTGCTGGACAGCCTATCTTTGTTGGGAATACTTTTCAACAGAATCCTTTCATTCAACAATAGGTTTTCTTTTTAATTAAAAACTTGTAAAAAATAACACTTGGTTCGAACCTGTGACCCCAATTTTTAAAATTTCCATTTACCATAGATCATTACATTCTTGCAGTTTACATTTCAACATCATTTATTTATGTGATAAAGTGGTAATCCTTAAGATCATTGGTCCCTAAAAAAATTGGGAAAAAAGTGCTGTTTTGATAATTTTGAGTTCTGCCAGTAGGTAATCGAGTGTGCTGAGTCCGAATCTGAGCTTAGAATTGATTTATTTCGAACCCCGGACCCAAATTCGACAAAGTCGGTTTCGGGGTAAACACTTCGAAATTAAAAATTTAGGGCTAATCTGACACGACTATTCGGGCAGAGTCGAATGGTATCAAAATTATGCTGTTTCGGCAATTTGGACGAAGTTATGGTCAATTAAATACACGCTTGCTGAGACTTCCGTATACAAATAGACACCATAACTTCATCCAAAGTTGCCGAAACAGCATAATTTTGATACCATTCGACTCTGCTCGAATAGTCGTGTCAGATTAGCCCTAAATTTTTAATTTCGAAGTGTTTACCCCGAAACCGACTTTGCCGAATTTGGGTCCGGGGTTCGAAATAAATCAATTCTAAGCTCAGATTCGGACTCAGCACACTCGATTACCTACTGGCAGACCTCAAAATTATCAAAACAGCACTTTTTTCCCAATTTTTTTAGGGACCAATGATCTTAAGGATTACCCCGACCGGGTTCGAACCTGTGACCCCAAAAATATTTTGTACTTTACACTTAACCAAGATATTTTTTTGTAATTTCAACTTAATATTGAGCCAAAATCTTTCCTAAAAATTTTTTTTTAAGTTTCATCAGCAAAATCTTTTTAATCCTGGTGCTATTATGCCTCAAATGGGAATGCCTGCTGGTTCTATTCAATATCCAAGTCAACAGCAACACAATATTGCTCATATTCAACTTCAATTAATTATGCCTATTAAACCAGAAATTCAACAATATTAAGAAGGTTTTTTTGATAAGAATATTTTGTTTTATTAAATTTAATTTCCCAGATGTTGAGCCTTTATCTGCTGAGGAGCACAATGCTCTTTTAATAAATTCGAGTACTGAATTGGCAACTTCAATTGATGCTAGTCGTTGGGGCTCTGTTGCCTTTACTCCTGATTTGCGTTTAGAAGAGCTAAAATGTTTTGCATTGAAATTTTTGTGTGTTTGGAAAGGATATGTTATTTATTTTTTTGTTTTTTATTTAAAATTTAAAGCAATGCTTTTTGAAAAATATTAAATTAAAAAGGCATTGCAAAGGGGTAGACGGAGATGAGTTAACTGAGCAGCCTAACCCCGTCTAGAATCCAACGGAGGAGGCAATAGAGCATGCCAATCCGTATCGAATCCATTCTATCACAAGGCAATAATTTCCTTTCTATGTAAAAAATATTTTACCTTGAGCGGGTTCGAACCCATGACCCCTAAATAATTTAAAATTTTCACTTTGCCATGGATCCTTACATAGTCTTGGAATTTTGTTTTTAATATTTTCGAATCTTGGACGGCCTGGAAAGAGCCTCTGTGACTCGGAAGATTTTTTTAATCCAACCTTCGGAAAAATTTCGGTATACGACACGGACGCCGATTGGGTCGAATGATATGTCATTCGAAAGAGCTCGTCGAGTTGATTCGGATGTGAAAAAATTTTCGTGCGGACTCAGAGGGGCTGAGATATAAGCCCCGAAAATTGAAAACCATACGGGGGACCAAGCTGATTTTTGGGGTCAAAAATTCGAATATGCAAATGAAAGCTCATTCGAAAGAGCTCCTCAGCTGAGTCGAATGACACCAAAATCAACGAAATCCGACTCGATTTTACAAAGTTATGACAATTTGTTTTAGCCCCTTCCACAAGGTTTTCGCGGAAAAAAGTTTTTGCCGCTGCGGAGGAAGCCGGGCATGTCGAGCGGAACGACGGCCGCCGCTTCGCTACGGTCGCCGCGAGCGAATTATAATTTAAAATATTTGCCATTTTTCATGATCAGAAGAAGAATTCGAAACATAGGCTTTGACATTGGGGGCAGGGCAAGGAAAAAAATTAGTCAAAGAAATCAAGATTGCCCTCATCATCTAATGATTATTCATTATTTTATTGATCAATTTCTTTTAAAATATCGCGTTTAGTTAAAATATTGCTTGTTTATTTATTATACATATAACTAGCATATATTTTATTTGGTTTTTACGTTTATTTCTAATTTAATTATGTGGTATTTTTTCATATTTTATTTTGTGAAATTAAAAATTTAGAATTATGCTTTTGCAATTCTATATCAAATAATAATTTTATAAAATCCAATTTTTTCTTTTATCAAAGCTTCTTCGCAATTTTTGTTTTCATCATAGTTTTCTGCTCCACAGTCTAAATTCAAACATAAAAATTTTAAACATTTTCTTATGTCTTATTTTTTTATATAAATTAAAGTTCTGGTAAATGATAAATTTTAAATAAACGCTAAAAACTCAAAAATATCAAAATATTCCAACCAATCCATATAAAACAACCTTGAGTGCACTTCTCTAATAAAGCATGATACGTGTCATGTGCTATAAAGAAAGTAAATATTTTTTAAAAATATAGGATTAATATTTTAACAAATAATTTAAATTGTGATTGAAATTTCTGAATTGAATTTTTTTTGATTTTTTTGACCCACGCAACCCGAAAACTCTGACCCCAATAACTCGGAGAGAAAAAGTGTATTCCCTTCAAAGTTTATAGTTTTTCGATGGATTTTAAAATAGTAATGATCTATTTTTAAATAGTAATGATTTTATTTAGAAATTCGTTGATTTTTCCGGTCAAAATTTTCGTCCAAAAAATAATTTTTTCAACATGGCCCTAAATATGCCAAATGTCATATCAGTCGAAAGCTCACCCCCGAAAATTCGATCCTCTATAACTTTTGCCAACATGGTCAGAAATTTTTGAAAAAATATTTTTAAGCTCATCTCGATGAGAGCTTTCGACTGATATGACATTTGGCATATTTAAGGCCATGTTGAAAAAATTATTTTTTGGACGAAAATTTTGACCGGAAAAATCAACGAATTTCTAAATAAAATCATTACTATTTAAAAATAGATCATTACTATTTTAAAATCCATCGAAAAACTATAAACTTTGAAGGGAATACACTTTTTCTCTCCGAGTTATTGGGGTCAGAGTTTTCGGGTTGCGTGGGTTCGGCGGGCAGGAGGCCCGCTAATAGAGACATAGTCTGTAAAATCTTGCGACATCAAACATAATTAAGCAGGTATAAAACGAGTAAAAACGAATAAAAACATTTAACATTTAAAATGTTATGGTGAAATCTAATAACATGCCCTGATTATCAAATTAGCTTAAAACTATAACTTGTTTATTGACAATTATTATCGATTATTAAATTATAAAAAATTTATTATTAACAATTTATATATATGTAAGAATTAATTAATAAAAATTAATAATATATTTATAATTGAAAGATGTATGTAGATAAATGATAAAATATCATAATATTTTATTTTGATTTTATATTATAAAAATTCAAGAAAAATTTTAAGATGAATGAAATTTACGTTATGAAATGAAATTTACAAATATAAAATAAAACATGATATTATTAAAATGTTTTAGTTACATAATAATTAATATTTTAATATAATTTTTTTTTGATATACATTTACTAATTAAAAAATTATAAATAATTTGTTGAAAGTGTTGCTTATTTTTTGAAATAAAATCAAAAAAAATTCAATTCAGAAATTTCAATCACAATTTAAATTATTTGTTAAAATATTAATCCTATATTTTTAAAAAATATTTACTTTCTTTATAGCACATGACACGTATCATGCTTTATTAGAGAAGTGCACTCAAGGTTGTTTTATATGGATTGGTTGGAATATTTTGATATTTTTGAGTTTTTAGCGTTTATTTAAAATTTATCATTTACCAGAACTTTAATTTATATAAAAAAATAAGACATAAGAAAATGTTTAAAATTTTTATGTTTGAATTTAGACTGTGGAGCAGAAAACTATGATGAAAACAAAAATTGCGAAGAAGCTTTGATAAAAGAAAAAATTGGATTTTATAAAATTATTATTTGATATAGAATTGCAAAAGCATAATTCTAAATTTTTAATTTCACAAAATAAAATATGAAAAAATACCACATAATTAAATTAGAAATAAACGTAAAAACCAAATAAAATATATGCTAGTTATATGTATAATAAATAAACAAGCAATATTTTAACTAAACGCGATATTTTAAAAGAAATTGATCAATAAAATAATGAATAATCATTAGATGATGAGGGCAATCTTGATTTCTTTGACTAATTTTTTTCCTTGCCCTGCCCCCAATGTCAAAGCCTATGTTTCGAATTCTTCTTCTGATCATGAAAAATGGCAAATATTTTAAATTATAATTCGCTCGCGGCGACCGTAGCGAAGCGGCGGCCGTCGTTCCGCTCGACATGCCCGGCTTCCTCCGCAGCGGCAAAAACTTTTTTCCGCGAAAACCTTGTGGAAGGGGCTAAAACAAATTGTCATAACTTTGTAAAATCGAGTCGGATTTCGTTGATTTTGGTGTCATTCGACTCAGCTGAGGAGCTCTTTCGAATGAGCTTTCATTTGCATATTCGAATTTTTGACCCCAAAAATCAGCTTGGTCCCCCGTATGGTTTTCAATTTTCGGGGCTTATATCTCAGCCCCTCTGAGTCCGCACGAAAATTTTTTCACATCCGAATCAACTCGACGAGCTCTTTCGAATGACATATCATTCGACCCAATCGGCGTCCGTGTCGTATACCGAAATTTTTCCGAAGGTTGGATTAAAAAAATCTTCCGAGTCACAGAGGCTCTTTCCAGGCCGTCCAAGATTCGAAAATATTAAAAACAAAATTCCAAGACTATGTAAGGATCCATGGCAAAGTGAAAATTTTAAATTATTTAGGGGTCATGGGTTCGAACCCGCTCAAGGTAAAATATTTTTTACATAGAAAGGAAATTATTGCCTTGTGATAGAATGGATTCGATACGGATTGGCATGCTCTATTGCCTCCTCCGTTGGATTCTAGACGGGGTTAGGCTGCTCAGTTAACTCATCTCCGTCTACCCCTTTGCAATGCCTTTTTAATTTAATATTTTTCAAATTCCCAATCGGCGTCCGTGTCGTATACCGAAATTTTACCCGACCTGCAGCTCTCTTACCCAACCTGCAGCTCAATTTTTAATTTATTTTTTTCTCATTTCATTCCTTTTAATAAAATTTTTCATTAATATTTTTTCTATTTCACAATTAATATTTTTTCTGATTTTCAAAAACTGCATCAAATTTTTGTATGTTGTTTTTTTGTTTTTAACGAAAAATCAAAAACACATTTCTCAACAAAATAAAATTTTAATATTTTTTTTTTATTTAAAAATTTTTTTTCTATTCATTTTTGAATGAATTTTGTTATTTTTTGACTTGTTTTTGTTTAAAATTAATTTGTTTTTTATTTTTTTAAAGCATCTTTTACTTGGATAAAGGAAATGAGTGTTGGTATTGTAACATGTATTGATGAATCTCATTTTTATTTTTGGGCATTGGGACATTGATATAAAGAATTTAGATGTAGAAAGGTTCCAGAGAAAGACTTTAAGGTTTATTTTAAATATTTTATTTATTTTCTGTTAAAAACAGAAAATCTTATTGTTAGTGTTTAAGGCTTGTAAGAGAAAGAATCCGTTTTTCAATAGAATTTTTAATTAATAGAGGGATTAAGCGTTGTTTATTTACAAGGAACCACCGCGAACTATGACCAAAAATTTTCGAATAATTATATTAGAGCAAGGCCGATAATTTATTGCCAATTTTTTTCTTTTTTGGCCCCTGACCCCCGTTTCGGAAAGTTAAATGGTCGAAAAGTTATATAGGTATTAAGAAAAAAAATTATATAGGTAAAAAAATCTTTAATGGGTCAAGGCTTCCATTAGGATATTTACAATAATCTAGTTATAGAAAATTATCCTATACCGAAAATGTTTTAAAGTTGCGGATAAAAAGTTGCCGACATATTCAGTACAATTAAAAATTCATTTGACCAATTTTACTTTCCCTTTCCGTCCCCAATTCTTCCCTTTAAAAATTGGAATTTTAACGCATTTTTCTTTCTAGCATGGCGAACTAATTCATTTTACTTTGCCAAGTGAAAATACTTCAACTTTGGACGCTACACGATGTGAAAGGGCAAATAGACAATTAAATGTTTTACTGAATGGAAATTGTGTTTGGAAGGTTTTTTTTAATTTTTAATTGAAAAAAAATTTTTTTTAATAAATTTTAGACAGAATGCCTTATTACTTTTGCTCCAAAAGAGTTTGATGTATTTAAGAAGATACACGAACAAGTTTTGGTAAAGATTTTTTGGTTTAATTATTTTTAGGATTTTATTGATTCTCAATTATTGAATGAGTCCAAAATTTTGACTTTTTTGGGACTGTATGATCCTCAGTTGAATATATAAATGAAGTTGGTCATTTTGTGAGTTGGACTTTACCTAGGATGGGGGGGGGGGGGGGCTCAGGTTTTCCTCTGTCCGGACTCATTCCAAGATTTCCATCTCCCGTTTTGTTTCTTTCCATCTTTCCCTCCAACATCACTCATACCATCCCTTTAAACTTTTTTTAATTTAAATATAGAATGGACACAACCTCAACTAATATCCCCAGCACTAAATCTGTAGATGAAGATCCTTTGGACGCTTACATGGCAGAATTTCACAAAAAGCGAGAGTTGGAGCAGAGGTTTTTTTTATTATTTTTTGGAGTATTTCAAGGTTTTTTTCCCTTTTAGAACAAAAAAGCTCGTTTTGTTGTGATTGGAGCTGTTTCTAAAAGTGCACCAAATGAAGGAGATATTGTCGAACCTGAAGATGAAAAGGAACAAGCACAAGAAGAACTTGATGTTGACAAACTGCTCCAAGTTTATTGGTAAAAGGAGTAATGTTGGCACAAACAGATCGTGTCCGGACAATGCGTGAGTGGAAAATGCGTCAGTGGACAATCGGTCAGTATTGATATAAAGTGATTAAAAGTGATGATGTAAAGAGATAAAAAATGATATAAAAAACTAACGATGGCATATAAACAGATTAGGTGTATCTAAAAAGAGATTTTGTGGTTTAAAAGAGATATAGAGGGATTTGTTGGGATTAAGGCCGACATCTCGGGTTTGGGAGGATTAACAGAGATATTAAGTTATTTGTTGGAATAAGATGGAGATCAGCCTATTTGGAGGGATATCAGTGAACTTTTATCTCTTTATGTTATCACTTTTAATCACTTTATATCAATACTGACCGATTGTCCACTGACGCATTTTCCACTCACGCATTGTCCGGGAGCCAAACAGATCACACAAAAGTGTATTATAAGCCATTTCGCAAAGAGGTTTTAATTTTGTTTTTTCAAATTTTTTTTGTTCCTTTTGGAACAAAAAATGTTCCTTTTTTAATTAATCCTTGGAATTTATTAAAATTTAATTTTCACTATAAAAATAAAGTTTTATCCGGAGCGGGTTTAAACCAATGACCTCACTCTCAAAAAATTTTTTCAATTTTTTAGTTTATCAAAAAACCTATCCAAGCAATTCCTTCAATAATGAGTGGAAGAGATGTTATTGGAATTGCAAAAACTGGAAATGAAAAACTTTGGCATTTCTATTCCAACGTTTAGACATATTTTTGTTCAACAACCATTGGAAGATATGGATTGGCCTATCGGTTTTTTTAACTTTTTTGATTAAATAAAAATTTTTTCCTTTGAGGCTCCAACAAGAGCTCTTGCTTTACAAACATGGAAATAAGCAAATAAATTTGCTACAAATTTGGGAATACGTGTTGTTTGTGTTTATGGAGGTGTTGCTATATCTGAACAAATTGCAGAATTAAAAGGAGCTGAAGTTGTGGTGTGTACACCTGGAAGGATGATTGATATGCTTGCGGCTAATAATAGGTTTTTATTTTTGAAAGCAATATGTTAATTCATCCCCATAAATAAGTTAAACTTCATAAAATTAAAATCTTACCTTGAGCGGGCTCGAACCTGCGACCTCTTCCATCATGAACACAAAGCTTTCCCGCTTAACCAAATCTCACAATTTTTTAAAAATAATTCTCTAACGACCGAGTGTCCATGTTCATTGATTTTGACAATTTTTCTCCTTATAATTTCTCAAAAATAAATTTTTCAGGTAAAGTCACCAACCTTTGTCGTGTTACTATTTAGTTATGGACGAAGCTGATCACATGTCTGACACGGGATTTGAACTAGAAGTAATGAAAATGGTAAATACTCTACGTCATGATAAACAGCTGTTCTTTTCTCAGCTGATTTTCCTAAAACAATGGAAGCTTTGACAAGGATGTTTTGGAAGACCTATGAAATTGTAAGTATAAAATCATCCCTCATTATAAGATTCACCCAATGTTCTATTAAAGAGTAGATTTTCGAATTGGTGGGGGTGCTCCTTAAGCGATAATATTCTATTTGGGCTATGCCTCATTATAAGGGCAATTTTTTCGGAACCAAGTGTGAATTTACAATTGACGTTCAACTGTGTCTTTAATTTCTCGTGAATTTTCTTTTCAAATTTTTAAAGGTTGGTAGACGCATAGTTGTTTGTGAAGATGTCGAGCAAAATGCACTAGTTTTGGAAGAACACCAAAAATTTATAAAATTACTAGAATTACGTGGCCAATATTGGGAGCTTGTAAATGTTTTGTTTTTGTTGAAAAACAAGTAAAGGCTGATGATTTAGTCTCACGGTTAAGGCTGGTTGGTTATAATTGTGCTTCATTTCAGGAAGGAATAGGTCAGGATGATAAGGATTTTACCATCCTCGATTTTAAAACTGAAAGATTAAAATTAAGCGTATATTTATTTTATGCAGTTTGGGCCATTTTAAACTGAAAAATCTATATTATAATGAGGGGGTCTTAAAATAAAGAGTTTCGCTTCTGAAGCTCCCTCCAACCAAATTTTAAGAAATAAAAAATAATTTTCCGTGAAAGTTTATTAACAAGTTTATTAACTTTAGGTAATTTAATAAAAACGAGGTCAAATTTTTGGGCGTGCTTTTTAAGAGTGTGGCTCTATTTCTGGGGGGGGGGGGCTTTTTTCGAAAAATACGGTATTTTCCTTTCAGGCAGAAGTTTGTTGAATGCTCCTATATTTTCAAAAATTACAAACGTCAGCAATTCGTCAAAAAATCAATAGAAATAATCTGAAGGGAACACAAAGCCGATTTACTGCTGCATTTACTGCATTATCAAACATTTATGCAAGTTATAAGTATGAATTTCTCAAGATGAATGAATTTTTGGTAATGATTTAGTTTCTAAAAATTATAATTTATATTATTATTAAAATACGTTTATATTAAAATTTGAAAATTTTTCTGAATAATATACAAAAATTGCGTTTTATTAAATGTTATTTACCGATTTGTTAAATTTTTGATAAAAATTTTAATAAAACGTAAAAGATGGTTAAAATAAATAATTTAAAAAATAATGTTTAATTAAACTATTTTAGAAAATTTTAAAAAAATATGTTCATGAGAGGTATGAGGGGTGACATGCGATGACGCTACAAATTCGAAAATGTTTTTCTTGAAAAATTATCTCTGGAGATAAATAGTATGATTTTTTAAATTTACTTTTCTAAAAATATAGTTAAAATAAAAAAATAAGGTTACTTACCCATCCACAATTACAACAATTTATACAAATTTAACAACAGTAAAACAATGTCAGATTCTTATATTAATCAATATAATTTATTTTCTTCACTTAATTGATTTTCAAATTTTGGAAGCAAATTTTTTGTATATGCTGCAAATTATCTTATATTATTTTTCAAAATATTGTTAGTTTTTAATTTTAAGCTTTCTAAAACAGTTGCCAATATAATAATTTTATTGTTGAAAATAATTATACTTCAATTTCGTACCCACCTCCTTTTTCCTTCCTCAAAGTATTACACAATGGTCAATCAGGCTTAGGTTATAGAACTCGTCGAGCTGTATCGAATAAAACCAAAATCGAAAAAATCCGACTTGATTTGACCAAAATACAGACCCCTGAAAATCCCATAAGAGCGAAAAGCCATGGGGACCAAAATTCATACAATTGATACCTCATTCGAAAGAGCTCGTCGAGCTGTGTAGAATGACACCAAAATCAACGCGTTTGGACAAGATTTGCCAGAGTTAGGAATAAGTCGTCGACTCCGGTAGGTCTACATAATGTTATAACTTTGTCAAACCATGACTAATCACGTTGATTTTGTGTCATTCTACACAGCTCGACGAGTTCTATAACCTAAGCCTGACTATTATTTTGTAATATTCTGAGGAAGGAAAAAGGAGGGGGGGTACAAAATTGAATTTTACCAAATAGGTAAATTAATAATTAAAAGTTATAATCGTTAAGTGTATAAGAAACAAATGGGCTCTACTTCACTTTATGAGTCCGAACAAACTGAGTCATATGTATTAAGTTTGAGCAAATAGAAAATTTACGAGTCCAATCACATTTTATTAAATTTTATTAAATAAAACATTTTATTAAATAGTATATTATCATGTGACAGGAAATTGGATTCCAATCTCTTCCATTAATTTTTGAAATTTTTTTGATTTCCATTAAATCTGCAGAACAGGTATTGTTGTTATGCTTGAGAGAATGCTGTAATTTGTCCCATGTAAAGCGACTGCTTAACGTCACGCCAAGTGGCCTTTATGGGACACGCCCAAGTAGGCACACAGCCAGGTAGGCGCAAAGCCATAACTAGTTGGAAAATTTCTGGCCCTTACCAATTTTGGTACCAATCTCTTTAGCTCAATGAGACGAATCGTTTAATACTAGATTTGGTAGGATTCGGGGATCTAGAAGCAAGTTATAGCTATGCTCCTACTTGGCCGCGCGCCTACTTGGGCTGTACCCGGCCTTTATGGCTTACTCTATTAACATTTTTATACATTGTGTTCCGCTTACATACATAGTAGTTTTACAAATGATAAAAATCTCTACTTTTAATAATAAAACATGTTTGGATTTATAAAATTTGATTGGGCTTAAAGTGAAGTAGAACCATATGTTTAAAATTTTTAATTTTTTAAAATTTAGACTGTTCAGGCGTTTTCAAATCAAAAATTCCTTTGTATAAAAAGAAGATTTGATTAAAGAAAAGAAAATTATTTTTACAAAATATTTTATTTACAAAAAAATATTTGATTTATTTTGCGAAATTGAATAAAAGGATTTTGTTTCAATTTTTTGAAATATTTTTTGAAAAATAACAATTTTTGAATTAAAATTATTTACTCATTTTTCAATAAAATATTCATATTATTGTTGATATTTAAACTTCCGTCTTCAAGCATATCACCATTTATAAACAACAAGAATACCCATAATAGTATAAATAATGAAAATTCAAATTTATTATTGTGGGGTGAATATAATGAAAAAAAATAATATTGAAGACGAAGAAAATAATGATGAAGAAGAAATTACAAATAATAAATCTTCCCCTCCACCAAGACAGACACCCAAATTAATTGAAATTTATGATCTTCGAAAGAAGGAAGGTGGTTATTGTGATTTGAAAGAACGACGTTTGATGATTGAACAGGAGTTGAGAAGTTATGCACCTATGGTTTCGAAACATGATCGAGTGGTTTGTTTAAAATTTTTTTATAAAATTGTAAAATGTCCAAATTTTAATTTGTCCAAGTTCCAAAATGTCCATAATTAAAAATGCCCAAATTGTAAAATGTCCAATTTAAAAACGTCAATATTTTAAAATATCCATTTGAAAATGTCAAGATTATTTTTTAAATTTTCAGCGTGCTACATAAATAATTGTTCAAAGAACATTGCATTATGCAGTTATTTATGCTTATGATATAGGATTAGCTATTGTAATTGCTAACTTATTTCCAAGGTTTTTTTTTAATTTTATTAAAATATAGTCGGACCTCTTTGTTATTTACCCACTTGAGGTTAAAAAATTCGTCATTTTTAATGGGATAAAAAAGTCCGCACAAAGTGTCCGCAATTTTTTGTCCGCAAAAAAATGTCCAGAAGAAAAATCTGTAAAAAGGTGTCCACGAATTTTCCAATATCCAAGGGCTAATATCATATTTTTAAAAACGATTTTTAATTTGCCAGTATTTAAAAATATTTGTCTATAATATTATAAAAAATTTTTTTTTCAAAGTTTACAACAATATGACACTTAATGTAATATTGGAAATTGGATAACAGCAACATTCGTTAATGTAGCAAATAAATCTCTAATATTTAGCAAAATGTGTTTACCTAAATTTGAAAAGGCTGATGGACAAAAATATCCAACAACTAGAATTTGTGAAACGGGAAACTTCAGGTTTTTTGCAATTAAAATTCTAACTTTTTGGATATGAATGAAAGGGAGAATCCATCCCGATTTTTCTTTCTAGTTGGAAATGAACATGGGATTTATTTTAAAAAATTTTAAGTAAAATTGGATGAATCGACCACACTCTTTGAAATAAAAAACAAATAAATTGACTAAATAATTTTGCGGATATATTTTTCTCCGTAAAATATAAAAATTTGTCCGCAAAAATTTGCAAATTTTATAGAAATCGACAAAGAAATGTCAGCATGTTTAGTTGTTTCACAACTAATTTCCAAAGACACACTAAACCAAATGTCTTAAAAAATTTTCCTAA